TGTCGGTGGTGCGGCAGGTCCCAGGGCGGGTGGCAGGGCAGCCCGGGTGGGAATGCGGATGCAAACAGGGCTGTGGTTAACGGGGACGCTGCACGGAATGAGAGCAGCGCGGGTGTGTGTGTGTGTTTTACGTGGCAGTTGTCGCGGACGCCTGTAGGTGAAGCCTCTGCTGAGTACGTGGCTGTTTTTCACATACCCGCTTCAATTACAGGGCACACGAGCCACGGCTGAACGGCGCTGGCCGAGGGAGCGGGAGGCGAAGCGGCGCTGCCTCCCGGTAAGCTGAGCCAAAGCTGGGTTAAAAAAAGAGCCGGGGAAGCACCCCTCCCACTCCTGCCCTGGATCGCAGGCTGAGACGTGGCGGGCTGTGCGGGCGGGCGGGGGCTGGGGCTGCTGCTCCAGCCCGGGGAGTGCTCAGGTGGGCTTTGCGGGGAGCCCTAGAAACACCCCCAGGGCAGCCCCACTGCGCCTGGTCAGGTCTGCGTGACTGTGGCTGTGGATTAACACCTGAGCGCCGTGCCCCACGGCATCCCACAGTGTTCCCCGCTGTCCCCTGGTGTCACCGGGGCGGCCGGCTGTGCAAGGGTAAACCCGGTGAATTGTCCATAGAAGCTGTTCCTGCAGATGTGGTCGCGTAGGGCGGCCTGTGCGGGGTTAGGATATTCAGGAGATCTTCTACGCTGGGTGCATGTGTGTCAGTCGCGGTGAGCTCCACATGCTGGGGCAGTCACGCATGACCCCCATGACTGGATTTCACCAACTGAGCAAAACCATGGCTTGGGGAGTCTTTGCCATCCCACCGCTGCCAGGAGCCTTGCAGCGGAGACCCCGTCACCACCGGGCACTGGCCCACTGCCCTGTCCAGGACACTCGTTTCCCCGTGCCAAGGTCCCCGTCAAGCAGCTTCCCTCCGTTAATGAACGCTGTGCAGCCCACGAGTGGGGACGACGTTGCACGGTCAATGTGGCATCTGTTGCAACCTGCAGGCACGGCCAAGTTGAAGAGCTGTAAGATCGGTTGTGATGTGTGGGCATCAGTTGCGAAAACTCAGGTTAGGGGCACTGAAGTGAAAGAGGAAAAAGCCTGAGCTGGTCAGGATTTTGCAGCTCTCTCAAACTCTGGTATTAATAAATTTAAAAGCAACGCATGGTATCCCAAATCACAAAGCAAGAGATTTTTTTAAATAAAGGGCTCCAACCTACTGCAGTGCATGTGAGTATTGAAAGGAAAAGAAATGAGGGGAAAAGATTACATTCATATTCATACTTTAAAAAAATAGTAATTTCAAAGTCCAGCCTATGGTTATTTCGTGAGATTGAAAACATGCCTTTTCTTAAAAGAAATAGCAATTCTGTTGTTTTTCCAAGGCTTTTCTTTGTAAAGCAAACTCCCCTCAGACGTGGCAGGCAGTTCTGATTTCAGCAGGGTTTGCGTGTGTGGATGGTGCATGCTTAAGGACTTGCAGTAAGAGGGAGTGAACGATAAGATTACAAAAGGACTGTTAAAAGGGGAAAAAACCTGAGTAGTTTGAGAGTAAGGAAGTTTGGAGTCAAGATTAAACTTAAATGAAATACTACCTTCGGTTTAGAAATAAAAATTTAAGATAAACCACGGACTGTGGGTTCATTCACCATGCTGGCACCAGTTTTTCATTTTTATTTTGGTTTCTTCCCTTGCTGCTCCTGACTGTCTCGCCCAGCAGCGGGAGCGCTCAGGAGGCCACTCCAGCGTGATGTCCCGGCGTGGCTGGCGTCCCCACTGTTGGGATTTGGCCACCATGTCCGAGGGCTGTGTTTTGGGCACTTGGGCTGTGCAACCCCCCCCAAGGAGCCAGCCCAGGGGCGCAGTGCGGCTCAGCCGCAGCTGTGCGGGGGGACCCGGCAGTGTGTGTGCCAGTGAGCGCTGAGCCCCCCCAGCACCTCGGTCCCCAGGAGCTGCGGGGAAGAGTGTTCCTCTGCAGACGGGAAAGGCCAGCCAACCTTCTTCCTAATAGCCGGGCACATCACCAGCAAGCTCCAGCCCTGCGCGGGGCAGGGAGAGAGACCCGAGACATTCCTCTAAGCTTCGGCTTCATGCTTACGAGTTACGACAAAGTTGTTGCTGTTTTGGTATGGTCAGGCATTCCCTCTGCTAACTCTGCGCTTTGGCTCTCCTCCTTGGCAAGTATAAATGTTCCAGATAGTTGAACAGATTCCTTGACACAAGAAAGCTGCTTTTGTAGGGAGGAATTAATTTAATCAAGGCTACTCCATCATTAAAATAATCTGAAGTGTCAGATGGAAAAGCACAGAAGGAAGCTAACTTGAAGATGAAAACTCAACATTTTTTCCAGCCAAAAGTGTCCCAGAAGATGAGGTAACATTATAATAAGTCACTCTGGGTCTCTGTAAAATATTTTATTAATGTAAAAAAAAAATTGTCCAAAGAGAAGTCGGGAAGGAATGATCTCTTGCTAAAGCCTGGCTGGCTTGACAAATTATATTTCTTCTCTGGAGCACAAGAGACCATGCAGAGTCGAAGACAACACAGTGGTCCACAAAGGGCAAGATTAGGCATGTGTGGTTGATCCTACCATGCAGAATACAAAGGCCCTTTTGACTGAAAACAGCAGAAAATAGTGCAAACGGGTAGTGCAAAAAACCGTCAAGCTCTTCCTCTTGCCACAAGGCAGGATCTGCTATATCTTAATTACTTGATTACTTAATTACTTGTCCATCATAGAGCACCACAGTGTACTCTTTACGGGCAACCGACAAGGATATGGACACAGGCACTGCATCAAGTTGAAAAAGACATTTGTTTAAAGAAACCTGCTCTGTGCATAGAAGGGGACAGCAGCAAATGTTTGTGCTGCAGAAACAAACATCTGCCATCCACACAGCTGAGAGCCTGCTCCTCAATACAATGCACAATCTTCCATTAAATCACTTTCCAGGTAGAAGTTGTTAGGGTAATGAAGTAGTAGGTATGTGCACTGTATAAACACAGATGTGTCCCGCAGTGTGTTGGCAAATCACAGGTAAGCCTCAAAACTTGAATTTAAGACTCGGTTCTCATGTAACTGTCAGAGAGAGGAGTTTCACCTTCACCGTGCATTTCGTTGACAGTCCGGCCCGCAAGTTACTAACTGTAACCTCTGCGGTGGGATATCTTATTTCTCTTACTGTGGAAACTCAGTCAGTAAAAAATTAGAAAACACTGAACTTAGAGTACCCTGGTAGTTCATCTGTACTGTCGGGGCATTTGGTGATTTTCTTGGAAGTCTCCACAAACAGCAATTATACAGTCAGATGAGAATGGAAACTTGGGCTTTGAAAGAAAAGTTTATGGTCGTGTTCCGCAGGAAAACTGCAAAGCTGTAGATGTAGAAAACTGGGAAATATGGGGCAATTGTGTGTTGGATGCTTAAAAATCTGAAGATTGAAGAAACTAAAGTTCACATTTCTATTTTTAAAGGTTTCCGGATTTTTAGGCTGACCTCATTATTCTGGGGGTGGGGTAATTTTCGGTGTACGATGGTGGCAAAGCTCTATTTTTAGATGGCTGTTTGCACAAAGTATGATTGAGAGCAGCTTTCCCCAAAATGGAGCTGGTTACGTAATAAAAGATTAGAATAGCCATTTATGTTTATTTTTTGTTATAAAT